AAAAAGAAACGTATTACTTAACTTTAAAAAAAATGTATATATTACTATATTTTAGAGAAACAAAATAATTATTGTAGACGTAAAAAGCGCTATTATTTTTTATTTTCTTCTTTGCAATACTGTTTATCAATATTTTATATATGAATATATAATATATTTATATATAAATTATTTTTGTCTTATTTCTTTTCCAACTAGAATACACAGACATTATATAAAATGCTAAAATTAATTATCACATCTACATAAGACTTAACTGATTATACTTAAGGATTTAACATGATTATTATTTTTTGTTGTCGTTTGTTTATTTATTTCTATGTATATATATATATTATTATAGTATTGCTTATTTTTTTCTTAAAAGAAAATAATATTTTTTTAAGCACTTAAAGCTACGACGGGATATTTAAAATTATTTTTTGGTTTTAGTCTGTGCACATGCCGTATAAAATATTACAAATATTTCATATAATTACTTTTTGGGGCTTTGTTAGAACAACAACAAAAAAACGAACATAGTAACATTTTCTTGTTGGCGAAAAATTGAAGAAACTAAGAATAACAAAAATCGTTTGAAATGTTTCATATACACAGGTGCACAGTGCACGTAAATCTAAGCTAATTCAATGATATAAAAATAATAAGACCGTGTGAAAAAACAAATCTACATTAAATATATTTGCTGTGCTTATATACTTCCAACATTAACAAATGAAACCAAAAAAATTTCACAGAAAATCATCTTCACACACCTAAAAACTAATAAATCCACAGCCTTGGCTACTAACAAAGAAATTATTAATTTTATTTTGTTGTTGTCTGAGATTATTCAATAACACCCTGTATAGATATATTTTTTAAATATTATTATTACATTTAGGAGGAGATAATAATACTGAATTAAATAGAAATTAACGAAAATAATATATAATAATAATATAAGAAAATAAAAGAACGCACACACAAAACATAAGACAAAATGTACAAAAAAAAGTAAATGAAATAAATACCCCCCCATTCAGAACTGAACTGAAATCACGTTAATCTATTTTTTTTTCACTTCCTCGCATGATTGAGTTTTTATTTTTTCGAAATTTTTTGAAAACATCTCTACACTCTTGCAAGGTCCCCAATAAATAATTAAAGTGTACGCGAAATCTATAATCAACGCAATCCTATAAAGAAAATTAAGACAAAAATAGTGTTAATAGTGTTCAAACGCAGGAAGAACAGTCTGATCAGATTAGAAAATAGAGACAACGGAAATACGGTACACGATAATTATTATATCACCTTGTGAAAACAAGTTCGCTTAAATATTAATTATACATATTATTTGTTTTTTTTTTTGACATTTTTTTTAAATGTATATATATATTTATATTCAGCTTTATAAAAAAATAAAATTAATTTGTTAAAAAAATTGTCCACAGTCTGTTTGACGCACTCTTTCGATCTCTCTCGCTCTTAACGTTCCTTTGCTTATCTCATTCGTTTCAAAATAAAAAAAAAATCTTCTCAAATATCGCTTTCCATCGACGTTCTTCCTCTATACTCCTCTCGTTTTCCGGAACCATTATATGCCGGTTGGACTGTTGCTATTGCTACTGCTATTGTTGATGATGTTGGTGCTTTGGACGACGTAGTGTGTGAGGCGAGTTGGCAAACAACCGGCATTCAGCTGGTAGAACTCGACCAGTTGGAGGAGGTCGTAGAATTTGGTCACGCCGCTGTCCAGGGAGAAGACGTGAGCTTCACGCACTGGGTCCATGATCGGCGTGATCTGTGCATGCAGCACCTTACCACCGAACTTGTAGGTCAGGACGAAGGCGCCCGGATTCGATCGACTCTCTCGCACCAAGAAAACTCTGTAACAGCCAACAAAGAAGAACACATTTAGAATAGCCATTCTTACTGTTCAACGATGAACAGATACGCACAAATATAGATACGTTCTCGGAATTTGTACTCCCGAATTGATTTGGGCAATCAATTAGCGGGGTTCTACCACGTCTCTTTCACGTGAACACATGCTTTTAATAAACCATACATACATAGTTGGTAAAAGATCAATGTGCAAATAATGATTATACTTAAAGTATTACATTCGAAATGTGTTTAAAAAGTGGTAATAGTGATAAAATTCAATTATGATTGTTTTTTGATTTAAGCTATCTACTAATTCGATTTATTTATAAAAATCAGAATAACTAAAACATTTAATAAATTTGCTTGTATAAATTATTGTTGGGTATAAATGACGTTGACCACGTCAATGTAAATTACAATTAAGTTATGGTAGGTTAGTGAAGTTATGTTAACAGCGGGAACTATAAATAAACAGACAACGCTTAAAAAAGGAGAGTGAAATCGAATATAAATATATATATATACATATATGTTGTTGTGGCGAGAATATTAGAGCACTTAATACATATTCAGCCGAGAATGTATCGATTTAAGTTTGATTAATATTTAGTTGTAAACCCTCAAACAACGAGCTTAATCACATTTTAACGTAGCAACAACATTGTTCATTACGTGGATCCCAGCGAGAAACAGCCTTCAGTCAATCTGGCGCCAAAGCTTGCGGAATTTAGTCACGTAATGTATCTTAGCCAGAATCAACTAAAATCCCTGAGATTCTACGTATTTAATTCTTGAGGAGAGAAGTTGTTTTGCTCTTGATCGAACCTCTTTTCTTTTGTTTGTTCATTTTTGATTTATAATGTGTTCAAAATGGAAAATAAAAACTGTTGGTTTACCATAAATTAATTCAATTAAGCAATACTATTATATGTTAATTATGTATGCTTTTTGGATATTACGTGGTTCCAGAAATGACCGAACAATATGCTAATCGACGTTGGTAAAAAGGTGTACGTATATAATATTTTTTTAATCCACTAGAATTTCATTATCTGGACAAGTTTATCTGTACGTAGTATAACTTGACCTAGCCAACAAGCGTTCCATTGGCACACTCGATAGCATTGAAGCACGTAACGTTGCATTTCTTTATTACAACACTGACGTTTCTAATTATTATTCTTTCGCAAAATAGGAAAGCATAGAATCCACTTCGTGGAACTACAAAAGTGAATTAGTACATTTGAGAAGAAACAAATCACTTCTAATTTTAGCATAACTTTTTTCCTTTACTCTTGACACACGCTGTCAGAACATATTTTTTTGTATTGGCTCCATTTGTAAATTGTCAAGCCAAGAAAATTATTTTTTTTCTGTTAGCAAATTCACCGGAGCGAGAAATCGTCGCTCGAAATACAGATAATAAGGGCAATTTCGCTTGAGCACGATCACACATTTAGGATGGTTTCTCTACCCGTTTTTTTTTGTATTTTCGACTTTCCTGACATTGGTTTGACCAGATTAAAGCAATACGTCTCTCTCTCCGAGGTATGTGCCAAAATATGTATCTGATCAACCTTCAAACCAAACACAACTTATTACTTTGTTTCTTTTTTGGGCGATTTTAAGGTCACAGAAAGTCATTCATGTTGTCTCGAGTGCACACAAAATGTACTATAAAAATGTTAATTTGTTGAGATTGCCAACAACGTTAAACTGGATTTCATCAGCGACAATTACAATGCAACGCATAAACATTGCATTTTATGATGAGCTCGATATTGTTACATGATACCCACCACTCATGCCGGATCATCCAATTTCAATTTCACTGGGGTTTACCAGGTCAACTGTGCGATAATCACGGCTAAATGTTTTTCTCTTATACTTGGGTTACGCATTGTTGTATCAAAACAAGTAAAAAAATATCAAAGAGATCTTTTAAGAATTATAAATAATTGCACATGGAATTATTCCAAAAATTAAATACATACTGGTAATGTATGGTAGAGTATTTATGGTGATTTCCCACATCCCAAGTAGTTAGTTTTACAGAAATAAGTATATGATCACTGTTTACTGATAATTCTATTTTTGAGTATTGTTTAAAATCAAAGATGTATGGATTTGGTAAAAGGTTTTGAAATGAAAGAACTTTTTCTTACCCATCAACTGTTCCATGTCGACTGACAAGTGCTGAGGCTTGGTCGCGGCTCATGCCTGAATGGAACCATGGTTGGGTGATGTGCACTCCAGATTCTATACCTTGCACGTGCCCGGTCTGAGTCCTGCAAGAAGGCCGCCACCTCCTCTTCCACGAATAGCCCTCAGCTACAGCTATCGCTTTTGCTTCTTTTGGATCATCAACTATCCTACCAACAGATCCCGTGAAATCCATGGCAACTCTCGAACGTACAGATTCCTGCAAAAAAAGAGAACATTTAATTACATGTTCTGCATGAATATGTATGGCGTCACCATTTTCACAGAGCTGCGCCTCAAAAAGTATATAGCTATTTTTTATACATTTGATTACAATACGAAATGTTTTGAACATCATTTGAAATCAAATTTATATGTGAAAAAGGCACAAACAACTGTGAAGTAAAAATGGCAATGTTTATAAAGAATTGCGACTCAAATAACTGATTTCCACTCAAGTAAGATATTAATTATTGTTTCCAATTTATCTTTAATGTTTGTCGAGTTCTTAGCAATTTAACTACCATTGAAATGATTAAATTCCTGCTTTTATTGCTTTCGCTGTTATTTTAATTGAATTTCATGCGACACAATGTTTAACAACAAATGACTAATGTGGCTACTGTCACATTTGTTAAGTGAAAAATGATTGTTTTAATATATTTTCCTTGAAAATTGTAGTTTCAAACAGAAGTTACATTGGGTTAAAGTTTCATATTTCTTTTCACTCTCTATATAAATATTACGTTTTGATTAAATTTGAACAAATTTAAAAGCATTTAAGAATATAATACTTTTCTTTTAGAAATACGGCACCTGAATTTAAAAAAAAGAGTACACGATTCAATTCTACTTCATGTTCGGTTTTCATTGTACCACTTTCATCGGTTTTATCTTCTCGGCGAGATCTTTCACTTTCCTGAGTTGTATTACATCCCCATGGGCGTTTTGCTGCTCTTCGTGTAGGCAGTGAATATATCGACAGTAATTTAAAAGAAGAAGCCAGCAGCGAGACGAAGGCTACAATGAAAATTTTACAGGTCCCCAGAAATAATAATACGCAATGTCTGTACTTCTAGGCTATTTCGCAAAATTCCGACCTACATAAAAAAATATACAATCCACTTGTATATTGCATATGCACACGGATATTGGTTCTGATACCAAATAATGTGAACAATGTTTATATTATTTGATATCATTTTAGTTGGTGGATATTATTGAAATGATGAGATAATTCAAATGTGAATCAATACTGCTCCCTTGACATTGACCGCATCCCTTAGATGGGGGGTTGTTGGCCGAATTGGCGCAGCCGCGAATTTAGATATGCAAGCACGTAAGTCCAGTCCACCACGCATCAACGTTTCAGTCTTATTTTTTTTATGGCTTTCATCATACGTCTACGAATTTTTAATACGGAGATCGATTTTATCCCGAACCTCAGAACCTCGTCACACTTTCGGGACGAGTCAAGGATGAGCGCAAGGACAATGTTCAACTGATACACTTGCAGCGTGAACGCGGGTCCTAAATTCGAGACGCGTGACTCGAATGCCGAAAAGTAAAAATCTGTATTTACAAAAACGAATAAGATAATCAGAAAAAAATAAACTGAAATAAAGAGGGTGGGATTTCGTGCTTTTAGAGAGTGGTGAATTGGGATTTCAGACGCGTCCCTCTAAAATCACATTACATTCACAATTTCCGGATGCGTTCCGGTCCTTGCATACCGCCCAATTATCCCAATTTCCATATCGAATTCCCATCAAATCTCCGTAAATTTAGCGAGAAGACGAGATTCCGTTATCAAAAATAAAATGACTTAACAGAATGAGGATATATATATTTTTTGATTGGAGATATATAGGAAATAATTTACTTCTCGGATGATTGAACATCCAAAGAAATGAAATAACAGTGTAATTGTGTGAAGATTATATGAATAGTGGAATGATGTAAATATATTTCCCATTATTAATCAATCAAAAAATATATTTAAATCTCAGAATAAAAGCCAAAATTTTAGTGATAATTAGTGCTTCAAAGTTCATCACAAACTTAATTAATTGGAGATATATAGGGAAATAATTTACTTCTTAGATGATTGACCATAAAAAAATGAAATAACAGTGTAATTGTGTGAAGATTATGATGAATAGTGGAATGATGTAAATATATTTCCCATTATGTAATCAATTCAAAAAATATATATTTAAGGATGCACTCAAAGATCATCCTGAAAATTTAAATGGAATTACTCTCTTTCATTTTTTCTTTTAATTAAATATTCGTATTAAAAAAAACCGCTGGTTTCTACTGATTGAAGGACGACGCATGCAATTGCAATGTACATATTTCTGTTCCTCCTCTCCTCGACGCATATACAAAACATACATATACACAATTCGACTTGGCCTTCAAACTTGAATCGTGCCTGCCGCAAGTAGATTAATCCGCAATTCCTATTGATGATTTTCGTGGTGTTGAAATTAATTAATCGCAAGTTCTATTTAATTGCATTGAAGATGAAGCTGCACCTACTGAAAGTCTCCTACTCCTTCTCAATGCATCCTCCTCTCAGGAAGATCGCCGCTCCCTTTCCTTTCCACTGTTTATTTACTTCTTCTGTCTAAGTTTTACACGTGCAGCCCGATAATTTGCCATCAGTTTATTTACCGATTATCACACGTGTTCCGTTCGTACGCTAAAAATACACACACTCAGTGTTTCCATTCCACAATTTGTTGTTTATTTGTACACGTTAGCGGTTTCGCGTATAAAACTTGAATCACTGCTACGGGAAAATAATAAAATATCCTCTCTGCATGCTGTGTAATAGCGTACACCGCACTTTCCACATCGATATCAAAGTCCCCCTTTGCAAAGTCGAAGTTAATTTTAGTCGTACGATTGCCTCATCGCAGAGGCGCTAATCAAGCCTTTTGTTTTTTAAAGCACAATCACTCGTTACACTTGCATTCATCAATACAACCGTTTCCTGTTTGATCACTCAACAAAACAAATTCGCAGTTTCACATAAAGCTTATATTGAAATTGATTCATTAAAAAAAAGGAAAATGACTAAATAATTATTTTCATTGACTTGTTATTGGATTTAGCAGAAAGAAGATACTCGCTGAGAGTTTCAGCTAAATTGAGATTCCTTGCGTAACCCACCGAATATCTTCATCAACAATTGATTCGGTCGGTGGTTCAATATAACATTCCTTGAGCGGAAAATCAATTATTAAAATATTAAGCTAGCAGTAAAATTGAATTAATTCGTGTTTCATTTCCAAATAAATTGAATTTATTAGTGATTTATTAATGAATAAAATACATTCATCGCAATGGCATAGATAATTTAGTATGTAAATGAACGTCAAATGTAAATTGATTTCCATACTGATGTTGTGATAATACGCGCGGCTAAAATCAACACAGAATATTGTAATGTGTTGACTAAAATATGGTAAAACGTATTTAACAGAAATCTAGTTTGGAAGTTTAGCTATTACGTATTTTCTCCCAATTACATATATATTTTAAATTAAATAAAATTGGCATCTCGAGCAAATTGCAATTAACAGTGGAAATGTGAAAGCAAAAAGAGAAGCAAGTAAGGCGAAAACGAATATTTAAAAAAAATGCGAGAAGAGAACGGTTCCAACGTTTCAAATACTTAATTAAAGTAAATTTAAGTTGCTGCTCTCAAAATAAAAGTTTACTGCCGTTCGCGGAAGCGAATCTCGGTCCGTTTACTTCTGGAGTCGTTACCGACATTTAACGTTTCTGTTTTGTGTTCGTCGGTTAAGGCGATTACATATTTTTTTTTGTGTGTGCACCGCCATCCATCTGGGTGCAATTTAGTTGCCATGCGGAGGATGGAATTCGTGGCCCTATTGGGATTGGCACATTGCGAGTGGAATATATGTATTATGTACGTGTGCAAGAGTTGGAAGAGGAGAGCAGAGATGGGTGGAAAAATGAAATACGCGAATCTCCCCCTTTCTTTTTGGGGGGCTTCTGCACCACACATACACATATATATATAGGGATATATAGCATAGGAAGGAACGGGAGATGGTAATGGAGGCTCAACAATGGTTTCATTGTCAGTTTTCCCTCGGCTCGGGTATCGAAGGCGCACGCCACTGTCTGCCTCAAATGCACCTAGCAACACGGTGTATACTAGCATGTTGAAAAACGTCGAGTCGCCTCCTGCCAAAACCTTATTAATTATACACGACACACGTTTCGCTAAAATAACCCGTGACAGAAGGACCTCAAATAATCACCATCATCTGCACCAATTTTTATAAAAAGATACGAAACTAATATATGGAAAATTACAGTGAAAATGCACGTAAGCGAAGCTGCGTACTCCTCTCAACGGACATGAACATAGGGTGCGCACGATCAATCCATCTATTTAATTATTTATCTTCAAAAACGTCATCACACATACATTTGTTATTAAAAAAACAAAACATGTTATTAAATCACGAGTACAACTCATTAATTTAATGGTCTATTAATAACCATATTAAAAAAGCATCAACATACATTAATTACACAATTTATAATAATAGATTTAATTAACTTTAATTTACATAATAATACTTAAATTTATAATATAAATGTATAAACTTTTTGAACTTAATTTCTTAATAAAAAAAAGGAAAATTATAACATTTGCAAAAAATAATTAAATTACAAAATTAAAAAAAAATATAGAATATCTCATTTAAAGTGTTTGATAGTACTACTAACATGAAAGAATAAGCAGATAAGAAATCTTGTAATGTAACGTAATGCGAATTTCGATGACCGTGGCAAAATTGATAATAATCATAATAATTTAATTGCAATACTAAACAATCATCAATTGCAACATAACGATGTCAAAAATTGGATGATCTGTCATTTAATTACAGTGCTGCATATTTCAAATAAAATACAAGATTATTATAACATGCAAAACACTGAATCATGTTTCTTTATTTTCTTAATTACAATACGTAATTAGTTTTGTTTCTACGAAATTTGTACCTTGCGAAATCGTTAATATAAATTGGTTTAATAGGAATGTTCTATATTGAACAGATTTCAAACTAAAACAAAAGTGTTTTTTTTTTATATATATACCAATTATTTTTTCTGTAAAACGATATTCGTATATGCTTGGACATCGATTTCGCGTGGAAAGAAAAAGCGGAGCGAATTTTTAATTAATTAAAACACATTGTGAGAACATCGCATGACTTTTGGACGTAACGACTGCTGAGACTCGGATGCAATTCCAACCTGCATTATAAAATTGTTGAAACTGTCGTTACTTTTATTGGATAATTATGGAATCAGTTACAAGCAAAGTGCTCGGATAAAATTATACAGCGGTATACGAAAAAAAAAATATGAACAGAAGGAATAACGTTCGACGAATTGCAGTTGTAGCATAAACATCTGGATTAAAACGGTATTTTATTTTAATGGTTTTCGTTAATGCTGCTTTTAGAAATATATTTCAAAATATATTTTTTTTAAATAATACTTAATTAAATAAAATAACTAGTAATAGACCGTATTTTTTCAGGTAATTTAACTTCTGCAAACAAGGATTTAGTAAGTAATACAATCCCAGCTGTGGATAAAGAAAAAAAAAGTCAAAATGTATATAATATTTCCCTATTTTCAAACCTTTATATAATAAATATATAAAGATTTCTAAATATATTCGCATCTGTACTAATATTATTAATGATTATGGATAGAACACTGCAATTTCGTTTTATTATAGTGATTTTAATTTGCATTTGATGAGAAATATTTTGATCACAATTGATGTATACGCTCAAATGAAAACAATGCGATTTTTTTAAAATAAAATCACGGAAACGCCTTGTGAGCCGAACAGAGGTAATGATGCAGTTTAAGTTGATTAGGATCGCACCAATAATAGAGAAAATCACATCCGTTTCCCTTAATGAAACGAAAATTAAAGGTTTTTGTTGCCTGCTGCGGGGGCCGGATGCAATTAACCTGCATTAAAGCGTGTAGAATTATTCTATGGAATTCATAGGGAGAGACAACAAAAAAATAATCAGCTGTACTAGATGACAATCAGCTGTTCGGTACCGAAACCAGGGTCACACCTGTGCACCCACCCGTTTTGGCGTTCTGCAAGGACGAACACCTGATTTACAAATCGATTTTCGAGATGGCGAGCAAAAATAGCGATGTCGGTACTACTAAAGTGATGCCATTTTGTATTACCTAGAAGAGCATATCGTAATTGGTCGACGTTCAAGAAATCTTTGCCAAAACCAAAATGTGTATATGCTTATATGCTGTAATAATGCCATCGTTTATTTTCCAACCGTTGACACCTGTTTTGTCATCGTCGACTACAAAGTCATCTTTTTTCAGACGAAAATTCTACGAAAAGCAATAATTAGTTGGTCACAAGTACCAAGAACAAAGGGACCCTGCTGCTGGTAAGTGCCATAAGTAAATTTAGTGAACCCAAGCATTGGAACTTGGTAAATATTAACTGCTAGTAAATACTACATTTTTTTTTTCATTATATATTTAGTATGTCCACAAGAACATAACGGAAACGAAGTACAAAAAAAATCGTAATTTCTATTACCAAGAACAAACGTGATGGATCCACGTGCGTGTGCTATGCATAAAGCCAATTTCGTTGATAATAAGTTACAATTTGCGTAACAAGTGGCGGATATAACCAGTCTAATTGTCAGGGAAATGCATACAATTGTTAAATAGAAATGAAGCCGTGCAAAAACGGAAATTCAAGCGTGAATTAATCGAAGCGTGCTCTACCACTCTTTACCCAGAAAAAGGAATGAATTGAACGTCGCAATTTGCAATTCCATTTAACAAATTCCATATGCATTGAAATCCATAATAAACCGTCGTGTCAATCAACATGGGTTTCATGAATATTTAAAGAAAAAATGATGAGGGGATGTTGTTGGAATCCAAATCATTAATATAAATTTGAGCCCGCATTCTTTACTATCCACCACTCTATATCAATTTATCCACCTTAATGCCATTCGTTCTGAAGACTGATTTTTATTATCAGGTGGTATATGTGCTGTGTATAATAGAAACAAAGATGTTGGATGCCAGCTGGAAGAAATCTGTAGTTTTTCACATCAGCTATTCCCAAATGCAACACACACCGCCTACATATATATAGATAACATACACAAGAAGCGAAGTGTATAATCTTGTGGGAATCGACTTCCCTTGCAACTTCTTCCGCCCGGATAATGGCTTTAGTTTTTAATGAAACTCGTTTCCACGAAGGATAGAAAGAGAAGGGGAGTAAGCCAGATAAAAAAAAAAGAGTGGAGACAAACTATAACATAGTGAGACGAACCAAAAACAAGAAAAACTCAACTTTATATCAGCGCCATCAAAATTGCATCATACACGCCCAGACAAAGTTTTTAATAAGCTTAAATAGTTCGATAAATAATTGGTTCAAGTCATTTACTTCCGCGTCTTTCCAGCGGGTGCACTTTCCTTCACCGCAACAGAAAATCGGATTTATTTCGGAACAAACCAGAAACTAATTTTAACTCCCTTCAGGATGGTGGATATTTAAATCCTCCATTAAAATATCTACAAGCAGTGATAAAACATGCAACGTGAAGTGAAATTATCCCGGATTTCTATATTAAGCTCGGCCGCGGTCCGTTTTTCCTTTTCGAAAATAATTACGGAGCCAAAATGGGATTTGATTTATCCATTCTATGCATCCACTGAAAGGGTTTCCTTTTCGTTTCCATTTCTATGGAACGGATTTAGCAATTGCCGTGCATTGGCAACGCGAAAGCTATTTGTATGCATGCAGGCGACTCGCGCATTACGAAACACAATTTTCACGATAAATTCGTACATTAAAAGGCGCTTCCACTGTAATGCCAAAACAACGCATTAACCACATCAAACATACATCAACGTACTACTACATCTTATTCTTCTGCCAGGAACATTAAAAAAAATCACTCAACTTTAGTCTCTCAACATTATTTATAAATTTCAATCCCCTATGAATATTATATAACAAAATTACTCTTTAAAGTTGTGTCCGAGTTATTAGAAATAAATAGAAATACTTACATTTGGTACTGTGAAGCTGTTGTAGTCCTTTGGGTTTATTGACTCAGTTTGCTTATTTTTGAATGCCCTGTAGTTCTCTCGTAACTGTTTTCCATACTGCAACAAACAAAGAAAATAAAATATAAATATATTTAAAGTAAATTATGAGAATAAAAAGAATCAGAGGGAAAGAAACGTAAATGAATACAAGAATTGAATTTTAATAAAAGAATTCAGTCCTCTAGTTTTGGTTTATTTACGATGCTGAACGTGGTCATCTTATTTTATGTGCACATGAAGTTGGTTTGCTGCTACGTAACTCTAGGACTTGCTCCGAGGCCGTTGACTTTTAATCTAATGGCTCTAGGATTTACAGCCAAGTTAAGCACCACCGATAAGCACGATATCTTTTCTAATTGTTCTCCACCCATCCGTTTAAGTGGCCTCTTGTAGAGCTTCCACGCAAATGACTATTCCTTTTTTTTTATAACTAACACAAACACTCGTCTTATAAACCGTGCAGTCGTCCTTCATACTTTACTAATCCGCATGAATAAACTAATAAAACGACATTATCGTAAGTATCGATGACATCTTGAGTTAATCGATCCGACTTGACCCAATAGCGCCTGGCACCAAACGCATTCCAATTTCCGCCTCAATTTGTTGTAACACGAATAAAGAGAAACCATTAATTACGCTATATTAGTCAACAAAAAAATAATTACATTTATAATCAAGGTATATTTTAATTTGCATATTGCATGTAGGTACATTAATTAAATACAACGAACTAATGAATTATTTATTAGAATATTGCAAGAAAAATAGTACAATTCAATAAATACGAAGACGTGTATATATTTAAAAGTTAAAAAAAATATGCAGTCTATAAACGGATTACTGAAATATTCCTGCTGTCCGGACGCTGAGAGTTCATTAATTCTAATCAGTGTCAAAGCTTGAGCGAAAACTCGCTTCTCAAATATTCAATACCTAAAATAGAATTTCTTGGCTACGGGAGAAAAACACTGCAACGACATTTGCATGATTTCATCAGATTTGTTAACACGTACATAAAATTAATTAGTATTCATTAGTGAGTTGATTCAATTAATAACATTATATGAGCTATTATTAATGATAGTAAATATATAATAGATCCAATTAAATTCGTAGTCAAGATTTAATTAGGAATCTAAATTTATATATTTTTTATTAGTCGTTAACAAAGTGGACGTCATTAAGTAGACATAGCTTTTTTTTAACATGGTAGGAGAGCTTTATGCAAACTACATTAGGGACTATAAACATGACGCACAATGGTGCTCTCCCCAATGTTGGTCATTAGTTAAGTAAAATGACAACAAGCGTTTGGAACTTCCAATCTTTGTCAGCCGTTTTGTATATTACCGTAAATAATTGAAGCCTCGATAATTTATAAAGAAAAATTTGTTTTTTTTTTATACAATAAAACTTCCCGATGATATTATTCTTATGTGAGCTTCGCGTTAAAACGAATAAATTGGATTAAGCTGTCTGCACTTTTCATTTCGAGATTTCAGTTCATGAATATGTGGAGTGCTCTCTGCGGATGATTTTTAATGCAGCAACAGAGGCGGAGGGGGAATTTTTAAAATTTATTCCGATAATCCGACGGTGCATAAAATAAAATTCCCCGCAATTGCCGTGGAACAATGTTTATATAAGAATTATTGCGTGATGCGGATTTTATTTTTTTTAATGTGGGAGCGGAGGGCTTGCGAAATACGCGATCCGGCGTGAATAAAGAACAACCGGAGACCTTGATTAATGGATAGAATGGATGGGTGGATAAGGGAGGAGGAGACTTAATGGAATTCCGGCTATGCATATTGTCCGATCGGTACCAATTTCCTAATCGAATACTTATAAATTAGGCAAAACGATTTTTCCTGTCCACAGTTTTATATATAATTTAGTTTATTTAATCCATTATATCTTTATAATCTATAACATTAGAATATTCACTTCAACAATTAGTTATATTGTTATAGAATTTTGATAGACGATTGTGTTATTCATAATTTGAAAATAAGTAACATTTACTGACTTGATTGAGCTCTTTTTCTATAATTACAGTATCAATTATGAAAGAAGAAACATAATTATTTCCAAAACATAATTCTATTTTATATCCTATGATTGTATTGAAATAAAAGCATTTCTTTCTAGTTTTATTAAAAAAAAACCTATATACATATAACTTTTTGATAAGTGCGTGGGTTGGGAGAATATCCGACGTTGTTCTAAATTATGCAGTGCCCTTTTGACATTAAACAATGCGTGTTTTACGAGACGTGAAACACGGTCGGTGCGTGCCTTTGTGGTGCGTACCAACAAGTGATTACATCACAAAGGATTTTTGATGCGTGCGAGCCGTTCGAAAACTTGATGCGATAACCGCTATTAAATTGTACGTATTATTTTGCGCTCAACCATCGACACACACACTCGCGACATCATTTGTAATGTAAATTGGGGCACGTTTTCAATTCGTATCATTTTGCTATGTATAACAAGCGCAAAAAATGTTTACCACCAGAAATGTAACAAGAAACAAATATTGAATTCTTCTTAAGTTAACATGACCAATATGTTTTGATGATGATGACTTAAAACAGCATTTTTTATATAACAGTGTTTTGTAGTACTTAATAAAATATTCTTTTATTAATAAAACTTCTTATGGTATTTAAATATATAAACTGAACCAACAGCCAAGTTAATAGGTTTCTTCCTTCTTTATTATCTTCATACGCTATACAGACAGGTTTTTGTCATTTGTTAAGTTTCATTTAAGTGTACAGCAACTGTTTTTTTTAAGAGATTGTACTTGTTTATGAACGGAAAAATCCTCAAAATTTATATATTTTACATCATAGAAACTATATGTAATATAACACATATATAATCAGATGTAGTTGTAGTCTTAAATTAGAATACCTCTTATATGGAAGAAAAAAAAATAGTGATAATATGTTATTTAACAAATCATTTTTTTCGTTATTGTTAAAATCATTCTGGGATGTTGTAAATCACTTGTTCTCTGCAAATAGTCGTTAAAATGAACGAACAACCACGTTTCAGAATTATGCAAGGTATGCACGAGGTGCTATGAGCATAAAATTTGTCGCAACTGAATTATTTTTGGGTTGTTAAATTAAATTTGTGCTTGGTAAGCGGTGACCCATTTATCTTAATGTGTGTCTAAAGTGTTAAAATGCGTGTTTTAGCAGTGGGCACCAAAAAAATCGCCGGAAAAATTGTTTGCACGGCATTAGAGGGGGTGGCAGTCTGGGGGTGTTGTAAACGGGTTGCAGTCAGGCGAGGGTCCGGACCTTCTCGACCCTGTGAGATTTAGGTCGATAAAATCTGATTTCCTGTGCAACGACTTGAGGGTTTTGTTTGAGCTACGGCAGGAGAATAGTGTGTTCGAGGGGAATGGGTAATCCTGCACCCCCTTGCACCTACCCCCTACCGTTTTCATTACACGTACACGCTCTCTTCTCTCCCGCTGCTGCTTTAATATAAACGCCAAGTGGTTGCCAGTCCCAACTCCCAAATACTCGTCCTATTTCGCCCCAACGGACCCCCCTTCCCACTCTCTCTCTCTTTCCACCCTCGCCTACTCATACATACTACACTTAATCCATATACTTATATAAATTGTCTTCTCGCCGCCGGGGAAGAATTTCGGGTGAGATTATTAAACCACCGGTCTCATCTCCGCAGACCGCTCCAAACTACTTGAAAATTTGTTACGTTGACGATACTTCTCTGTCGCGATGATTTAAACATTCAGATTAGCTTTCCGAGACGCCAGAGAACAAATTACGATTCGGAAACACGTAACAGCCATTCACTGTTTTCTAAAGACAAGTTGCCCATTGATGTAGCTCACAAAATGAATTAATGCGAGTACAGGAACCAAGCGTTCGTAAAAACACACTTCCCGTAACAAAGTTTGCAATGTGAAAAGAAGGCAAAGTCACTCGCTACGTGATACTTAACAAGTAACTTGTATTAATATAAGTACTTGCAATATACTACATATATTTCAACATATAACAACATATATAAAAAATTAATTATACATGCAGTCAAAATGTTAAAGTTCAGAAGTCTAATATAAATAAATATAGTTTAAATATTTTGGCTGTAATTGAATAAAATTTCGCAATTGTATGTGGTCATATTTCTTACCTTTGCGAGTCGCATGGCTGTGAGCCAACAGGTTCGACCCTTATCAGAGTCGCAGGCCAAGCAGAGAAGGCCTGTGCCTTCCGAATCTTCAGAGTCCAGACCGACTGGACGTAGACATAAACCCCACTCGGTGGGTGCCCGGAATTGATTCTTAGCGTTCAGAGTAGCATACACTTGGTAATTGGACAACTTTGCGTAGACTGCGACGCCGTAGTCGTCCTTAATAGAGATCTGCAACAAAGAAACAAAGAAGTATGTTAGAAAAGGAGATTAAACTAAAAACACACGAGGTATGTATATTGATCAACGGTGTAGTTTAATATTCAAATAAGAGAATGCATTTAGTTTTCTCATGCGATGTACGTCGTATGAGCACTTTGCTGTGCATCGTCAATTTTACAAAAGCTCATTAATAAGTAAAGCCCGCCGACTTTGGAGGAGGAGAATACATCGAAAACGTTGATGCATTATTGATGTCCGTTAAAAATACAAATTGCCGCTCAATTGATGCTCAAAAATGCTCTGAAAGATTTAAAAGAACAAAGGAAGCAAAAGATAACAGTGAAACCCAGAGAGATCGATGAAGATAATATCAACCGGACAAAATTCAAATGGTCTAGACTCAGCTGGATCTTTATGGGAGTTAATAAAATTTGATCAGTAGAAAAAACCATTAACGATAACCCCCTTCAGCCAACGTGTGGCTTTTTGGTCACTGCTATTAAACTAAACTGTCCGATCTGGGTCGCTTAGTTCTTTGCACTTTTGACCCACGACCACTCGTCCGACCAATTGCCTTCCTCTTCGTCCGTTGTTTTATTCCTTCCTTCACCGCTCTCACCTTTTTTCTTCTTCGTTTTTCTTCTTATTATATATTTTACTGCCGCTGCGTGCAGTGCATAATAGCCGTCATTGTTCTAAGCGCGATATCCATTATTAATTGCACTCGGTTTCGTCGCCCGAGAGTTATTGGCCTGTCGTTAAAAAAATGTACATGCATACAGCCGTACGTAATGAACATACAATAAATGCACCGAGTGAGAGAAACAGCTTTGCATTTCTATTATTAGTATTCAACGTACATTAAACTGACCATTTTTGCTGCATGTCTTCTGTACAACTACGAGTAAAGAACACAGCCGCGTCCAACACTGATTGCTCGGGTTTAGGTTTAAATTGCTTTTCCGCTATTTCTTGCCGATTATAAAGATAAATAAATAAACGAAAAGGAGCGGATTATGGCCGAAGATTATACGACCCGAGAAAGTCAGATTTTGGTTAAAGCTCTAGAGGTTTTCAGACGACGCAAACTTTTTCTTCGGAATAATGTTCAACCTCGAGCTTTAAAATTATTCTCAGATCAAAAAAAAAGTTTAGCAACAATTAACATACTTGCAAAATAATATTATTTTAATGAAAAATATCTATTTAAATTATAATTTTATGTAAATATATTATACAAATAGGTTTAAAAGTAATATAAAATATTAAGAATATAGTTAATTTCCAAGTAATCAGAATAAAACTTCAATTATGTTATTTAAGAAACAATTAAATTTGGTGGTTAATTGAAAGGAATAATAAAAAATTCACTTTCTGTTAACAATCGCTAATAATATGCTATCCATGGCAAATCGTTTGCTTGGGTGAGTCGACCTATTTACTCATGAACTTTGCAACAAGTTGTAAGTGAACTATGTACTGTGGATATCTAGTAAACTCGCCAAAGTATCTGGACGTCGATGCCAATTGAGCCAACGCCATTTCTTCGAGATAATGTTTTTCCTTTTTAACCTTCTCTTCAGCAGCCAATCATTATCAAAGATCGACGAAACCAAGATCTATCTAAAAGCCGGTAAACTCTCCATTTCAGCACGTTGCAATGCATTATATAATAACATATATATATTATGCACATTTAATCAATGTTAATAATAATAATGAAATACTATCATCATCCATAATTGTGTAATAAAATTACATAAATGAATAATACGAAAGAATCGAAAGACGTATGGATATTGATGCTTAAAGAGTAGTTATGCTTGGAAAATATAGAAAGGAATAAATGTAACGCGTGGGCATGGAAATTATACACCGTTCTCTGCACTAACCTAAGTTAATAACGATTATGTGCGGAGCAAGGTAAACAATTGGTTTCGTCATGTCGAACGACGAGACAATGACACGCAATGCCGACGGGAATTCTCGTTAGAAACAGTATAAAGCAACTATAAAAAAATACTACAAAAAATAAAACAATATGCGACTGCAATTTTATTATATATACATTATGTATGAATAAATAGCGATACACAATATTATTAATATCATTATTAAATATATCGAGTGAATTACACTTTGTGAATATTACATACTGGAACCTCGCTTAACGAGTTCAATCCATTTCAAAATTTCCGGATTTTTACTCCTATAGTGAAACATATTCAAAAATACTTTCGGATACTTCAAAACATTGATTTTTGAAACAAAGAATATCAATTTTATTAATTATTTAAATTAATTTACATAACTAGGTGTCATGAAGAACACAAAGAATTCTGAGCATGCAATCTATTAGGGTAAATTTAAAGTAATGATATAACCAATGAGATGCGTTTTGGCTGCAGCCCAAAGCGGTGCTGCATCTGCGATCAGGTTATTGCACGATATCTCCCCTATTTTTACCGTCCGTTTGCCATGTAATGGAACCATGGGGGGACATAAAATCCAACGGAAAGCATCGCCGCCTCCGCCGATCCCCCCCAAATGCAGTGCTCACCTCCCCACTATGCTCTTCGCAACCCGACCGGTTTGCAAACGTAATACCAAACCAACCAAATCGCCACTGCAAATGTATATATGTATGCATTTGGAAAAAAAGTAGTGGATTTATACTCTGGCGCTGCTAGGTAGCATTTACGGCTCCCAAATCGAAAAGTTCCAATGAAATACCACAATATTTTACTGCTTCTAATTTTATTACACTCCAAACACGTCCAGACAGAATTAGCCAAGAATAAGAAGGAAAATATATTTCTTAATTCACCGAGTAGAATTTCAATTATAATATCTTCTATACTTTTTCAAGTTCTATTATTTATATAAGTTATCAAAATGAACATATATCTGTAGTATCAAAATTAGATATTATACATATCTTTTTTAGTACAATTCTTACAAATTGAGTTATCAAAATTAAATAACCGGGAGAAAATAATCAAAAAGAAAATAATTCTAACAAGTTACATAATTCATTTTATCGGTTTATATGGAGGTTACTGGAATGGAAACATAAATAAAATTCTTGAAATCAATCAATGTCAAGTCACAGAAACTGACCGAGGCGACATCACGTAACGCTGAATAGAGAAGACCTTCATAGAGCACAAAACTCTGTGCGTCATCCATTTCAATACCCTTCTCTCGCACATCAATAGCGCCGTTTCTTTCGTCGTATATTCCAAGTTTCCTTTGACACTGATGTAACGAGTGTGACATTTGACAATTACAGACGTTTCGGGGAAAGTGCAAAAGCTTGTAGCAGTTCTAGTCCTTTCAATATTCAATCCAGATATTGGATTGATTCTTTTCCTAGTGGGGTCGAAGGGACGTCAAAAGTGCAGAAACGAGATGAGCCGAACTTTATTAACAATATTATGGTTCGGATAGAAGTTTTAAGCGCGACTTCGAGTATTTGAAGTATTGTATTGAGCAATGTGTGTTGATTGGGAAAAGCGAAGCACAGCAAAATTAACGGATTCGGTTGTTTACCGAAATAAAATGCAACTGCAGTTTTATAGGTCGAACAACAAGTCTGTTGTATGTAAACCAGGCATAGAGAACCCCGATCGTATCAATAAAAACCAATAAAATAGCGTGATTAAAGGGGGGACCGTTTCGTTAGGCCCTAATGAAAACAAATAAATGCAGTCGTTTAGGGGGAGGCAAATTAGATTAGTTCGCATCCGCCCGAAAAGGAAAATTACATGCGATGAAAACTTTTTTACGGCTGTTCTTCGATAGTGCTCTGGGATGATACAAAATTGGAATACTCAGTTGGAAAGCAATGAAATAAACTCACCAAATATATTCATTACTTATTTTTATTTGCTTTCGTATTCAATAAAATAATTGGAATACTTGCTGTAACTTATGCTATATAAATTTAAGATAAAAACCTTACGTCGAGATTACTTTTTCAATATTAAACGGATATATAATTTTTCGAATCCTATATTTAGTTATTCATAATGGAATACGTATAATGAGTTTGTATTTTGTAATATGTAAATAGTAGAATGTATTTCGACTTATGTACTGTTATAATTTGTTATATTATTTACTACACTTCGTTGAATTCCGTTTATGTTAATAAAAGAAGACCAAACAAACGCGAGTACAAAAAAAAGTATTGCAGACAACAAAAGGAAAATCTATAATGGCAGGCATCGAGGCATGGAATGGAAATAATGAAAATTAAAAACGAAACGTAAAAGTGTGCGTTTATGCACTGTGACTTTACAAGGAAAGGAAATGAAATATAAGCACGAAATATATGTGGCGTAAAATGAATATCCACCAAAGTTTTTCGATTAAGGCGAGTGGAGGAATGGGAATGTTAAAATGGAAAGGAGGTGGAGGAGAGTCGAAGAGAAAAGTGAAATAAAAGATCGGAAAGAAAGGGTTATTAATTAAACCGCGGGGTCCAATTTGGTTGCTTAAGACAAAGCGAAATTCGCGTGGCTTCGAGTTTTTGAAAACCAAAAAAAAAACGAAGAGTTATTGCATTGGAATATAATGCACAATGTCGATGCGGTTAGCTGACCCTGCCCGAATTACAGTCCAATTCCACGGGGAATGGATTTTGCGAAACCGATTTTTTTTTTAATTTCACAAAAAAACATTTTCCATTCGTACGTGTTTTATTATAGAAGTTGGGCGTTGAAACAAAAGCGATGAAACAGTGGTATTATTATAATGCACAATTGTTTGTTCTGAAAAATCAATGATTTAATTGTGGAAACTTTAATTTAATATTCTTGAGCAATTTACTGATCGGTCTAATAGCTTCATAATCAAGGCACGCCTGTTCACAAAGTGTTAAACTTATGAATGATTCATTTCATTTAGTAAAAAATAAATAAAACCGGTAGTTAATACCGACATTTTGTGTTAACGGATTTTTATAATGCATTTTATGCTGTGCAAGTAATTTTATACCATATTTC